TCCGTGCCTTACTCTTACGCTCCTCGAAAGGGAAGGCAAAAAGGTGCACAAAGCCCTTCAAAACCGCACAGACATTTCTCCAAAAACTCCACTCGATCTCTACCCAATTTTTTTCCTCTGCAAAGTCACCAAACTTGCTTTCCTTTGACGTTACCCTTCCACTTTCTTGACTGAAAATGGGATTCTTTTCTTGGTCTTGAATTTCTCTTTATGGAGGAAAATGAGAATTTCTTGGGAGTTTTCCAAATCAAATTGGAGTCATGAGCATACTTTCGTCCCGAATTACCTCAGATCCTCTGTTTTCTTGCATTATCACTTTCTACGTCCTAATTCTACTCTATTTCCCTCCTGGGTTCTCCCTCAAGATCCTCGTCTCTCCGGTGTTCATCATCACCGCATCCATCTTGCTTTCTCTCCTATGGTTTCGTGCAAACCACAAATTCCAAACAGAAAGCAAACAAATTTTCTCTAAATCTGAGGAACCAGAGTTTTCAGAAGAAGCATGCAAATTGGTCGGACACAAAATAGAAGATGATTCGGAAATCAATAAGGGTTTTGATTCTTATGAACTGACCAGGAGTTTCGAAGAAACGTTTGTAGAATGGAATGTGAGAGCTCCGCTGGAGGTAATATACGAAGGATACGAGGGAGAAGAGGAAGCAGTGGCGAACCAGAATGATGAAAAGGAACCAGCTCGGTTGATTGAAAGGTACCCATCGTTGTCATTGTATTATCCGGAATCGGACTCGGACAGTTCGTCGGAGGCAGATTTAACGGTACCCTGCGAGTGGTTTTCACCGGAGAAGATGGGATTCAGGTGGGAAGAGGAAGACAAAGAAGGGTTGATAGAAATTGCCCTCGATAAGAAGGAATTGGAATTTCATGGGGAAGAAGATAATTTGATAGAGATTGATATTTCAACTCCAGGTTAGGTTTAATTAATGTTAATTAGAGATTAACTAAAGTCTATAGAGAGAGGTTTTTGGGTTTTGAAATATATTTTTGTTGGGGGATATGCTTCACCGTTTTGTATATGAATGCCTAAGCGATGAACTTGTTATGATTAAGGACGTGTATGAGTTCGTCCAACAATCCTTTTTATTGCATGGAGTTGTAGAGTTAAGAGCCACTAACAGGAGTAAGTTTAAGCTTCTATTC